AATAATGTACAGTATGTGGAAATAATGTGCTTTTTGAACCTTAAACCGCATAAACATTTCATTACACCAAATAATGTTCTTTTTAGCAGACCCCTTTAAGTAAATTTTTTTTTCATCTAATATTTATGTATTTATTTTAGATCTTTTTCAATTAAAGCAACTGTATGCAAGTTTTTTTTTTTTTTTTTTACCTTGAAATATCAGTTTCAAAATCATTCTGATGATTTCATTACACCAAATAATGTTCTTTTTAGCAGACCCCTTTAAGTAAAAATTTTCTTCATCTAATATTTATGTATTTATTTTAGATCTTTTTCAATTAAAGCAACTGTATGCAAGTTTTTTTGTTTTTTTTACCTTGAAATATCAGTTTCAAAATCATTCTGATGGTACACTGACTTCTAAGGTAAATGGCTTCCGTTTCTTTCCCACAGTTCCCCCAAACTTCTGTTCTTACAGTAAGTTTGGTAAGCAGGTATGAAATTCCAAAGGCAGATTGCTTTACCACAACAACAACAAAAAAAGCACTTGTACAGCTATTCAGTGTAATTATGACAGTGACATTGATGATAATAACAGGACAGGCGAGAGCTCTCTTTGCTTAAAAAAAATGACTGACAGCTCCAGTGATTATAAGGGGGGGGGGCATTCTTTGATTGCTTTCTGTATATAAATTAATCAGATTAATTGCATATGATTTTATTGAAAAGAAGAAGAACAGTGTGAAGTTGACAGCTTAGTCACTAGCTTGATTTACTGACGCATAAACAGCAATACATGATTTTGTGACAAAGAGCGCCTAACTGTACACAGTCCTTACATATCAAAACAATGTCTACTTGTGTCAAAAGATTAGGGAAATTCGGATTTCTTAGTTCATGTCCCCTTTGGCACACCATTTAAAACTTGTACTACAACAGCAGCTGTCTGTGGTCTTTAAACTGAATGACTAAACTGATGAAATGAGAGAAAGTGCTCACCTCTTCAGGATAGAAGCACTGCAGATGTTGCAGAGGGAAGACAGACTCAAATCCTTCCCTAAACGACTCAAACTGCCGAGACACGCCTTCATTGAGCGTCCAGTAGACCACCAACTACAGATAAGACAGAACAAGAGGCGATGAAGTTAGAGCGGTTTGTTCAGGCTACATAAATGATGACATGTGTCAGGTTACTCAGTCCCCTACTCTGAGGTATTCCTCCAGGTTGTGAATGGTGACTGGCACGTCTTTGCCCCCTTTCTTCAACTCTATGTTTGGGAATCCAGGCAGAGTGAAGTCCAGGCCCAGATCTTCCACCGAGCAGCCATTCATGTTGAGACTCTCCAAGGCCTGCAGTAGGGTCTCCCGTGTCTGACAAATACAGACAGTTACAATACGACACAAAAAAACTTTCCAGATTGTTTTTGGTGTTTCGTGTCTCTGAGGGGTCAGTGCTCACATGTGATCTGTCCTGCTCTATTCTCTTCTTCTGGCGGATGATGTCCTCCAGGTGCTGGATGGATTTGGCAACGCCAGGATCAATGTTGACCAGATCATGAGAGCTGATGGAGGATTCATGCCTCAGCATCCACTTATAGAATGGCAAACCTAGAGGCAAGTCCAACTAGAGACAAAAACGCATCTTAATTAACAAGATTCAATGACATGATATTTTTTTCTCTCTTTTTTGTCTGGAGGTATTAAATTATAAAATCAAAAAGATAGTAGCTACATTTACACTAAGTTTTCATTCCAGAAAACTGCCAGAGAGTGTTCTGTGCAAACAAAAACCAGAGCTGGAGCTGATGCTGGGTAGGTGTGTGTGTGTGTGTGTTGCAGTGATGTTGTTAGTTATCTTATGACTAATTTACCAGCAGAAGAGGAAGGTGTCATGGTGTCATTTTCTCTATAATGCCCAAAAGACTTCACAATAATGATATTATTGCTTTATCTACAGAAGTTTGGAAAAATAACTTCACTCAAATTCCTCTTCAACTTTTATCACACTTTAAATACAAGTGTAAGAAGGCAGAGTGTGAGTTTGTAACTATAACTTAACAAAAGTGTACGAAAATAACTTGGTGTTGATCGGCACTTCCTGCCGACAGGAATGTCTAACACCTGTCTTTTTACGGAATCCCAAAAACTCCAACACTGGCAAGCCAACTTTTTTTCGGGTGCGGGTGTCTCGATTTCAACCATCATTTACTCTGACATGATATTGTTTGGCAGTTAAAGCTGCACACTGCGTGGTCTTCTTTCCATTTTATGATGGTGGCAACCAGCATTAAGGTGCAATACTGCCACCTACTACTATGTAGGAGTATCAACCAGATTGTTACTAGTGCTAGATTATTTATGCTATCAAATGTGTAGTTTTCACATATCAATTACATTTTTTAATACCATGTTTTTGTCTTTGATAATGGTATATTGCAACACCCCTAATTTAAATAAATAAATGTAAAAAATGTTCTGAGATTGTAATAAACAAACTTTAATTAAAAGGCTCAAATACTTCAAAGAAAAAGGAAATTAGAAAAGGCATAAAAATATATGAAGGGCTTAATTTTATATTTCTGAAGTAGTGAACTAATTATAATTTTTTTTATTGTCCTTAAGTCATTTTGTCATGAGTAAACATACCAATCTGAAGTCCATGATCGCTTTAGCCATGAGTTTCCCAAGAAAACGGAACTTCATTTTGATCTTGGCGATGTGAGCTGGTTTGGTAGTTCGTCCAAACGGAACAGCAAACAACCCTCTGGAACTAAACATATACTTGGTACCCTCCTGACTCCCTGCTCAGAGACAGACAGACAGAGAAGAGACAAACTTAGTGAAGAGCAGTAGAATGCTATTTGCATTACACTGGAAACAGTGCACAAAATTATTTTGACAAATATATCACAGTTACCTTTAGGGTTGGAAAGAGAGACTTCCTCTCCTCTCCAAAGACCCAAATCGGCCCTCTGCAACTCCTGAGACACCAGAGCATAGAACTCTTGCGTAGGGCCGAGACCTGTTCCCACCTGAGACACAGAGAGAAGACCGATATAAATCAGAAAAGACTGACAGAAAAGTGGACTCTTAGCAAGAACAGACACACTTATTCAAACTTGCACTGGCTGAAATACACTCAATGGGCTTGTGAAATAACAATGGTGGCAATTATTATTTTAACCACATCTAAAACTTTATATAATTGAAATTTGGATTGGTTCTGAAAAATCAGAATTGAATTTTTTTTTGCAGTTCAGATGAAACAAATCACACTAACAATAGTCAAATATACATAAATATAGGACTTAGGGTGACAGTGAGAACGAAACCATGTGTATAAGTGATTAATGGATGTTTTAACAGTACATAAACAACTGTTACTAGCTGCACAGGTTTGATTTCACATTGTTTTGCATTCTAAGCACTGCCACTAGGGGCACCATAGTCGTATTTGCATAAAATATCTTTTACGGTCAAGTTTCTCTTTTAGGCACTACTGTCATGGTGAAGTAGTGGTTTGTAGAGAATTTTGCTGAGCAAGTTAAACTATCAGTATGTTTATAGCGAGTTACCAGAATAACAACACTTCTGCAGGGCTTCTTATTTGTTACTGTAACACAGTAACGCAAGAACACACACACGATACGGCTGAAATGCATTGGTAAATAATTTGTGTCTGTGTATTTATGTAGATTATGTTTCTGGCCTAATCGTCAGTCATGCATACCTCGTTCTCATATTGAATTTCCAGCATGGCTCTAGAACTCCCGAGATCTTGCATTACTGACTCTGCTTGCTTTAGGAGCTCATCACGGTTTATCGTTCTCTAGACATACAAAACAAAGAATAAGAGAATGTTAGAAAGTTGTTTGTGAAAACATACCACTGCTATGGCATATATAAAGCAATTGCAGCTTGCAAATGCTTAAACAGAAATTTTAGGGCAACCTTCTTCCTATCAAGGCGTGGAGCAACACGGCTGTCTTGTGAGTCGGACTGGTTAATCTCTGGGTTGGTGTCGAGCAGACGCTGCATGGCACGATCGCGGTCAAACGCAGTCACGTAGAAGAGCATCTGCCGTGTGTCAAACGGGAAGAAGAATGGACTAGAGGAGAGAAGATTAGAGGTGTAAAAAGTACAGAACAGACTCCGGGGAAGTTCAAGACTGCATTATTAAAAATAGTAAAATGAAGAGTTTGCAGTACCAGGTTTTGCCGAGCTCAGTGAGCCAGGTGGGAATGTTCCCTGTCATGATGACCAGCGGATCCTGCAACTGTCTGTTGGCCTTTGCTGTCAGTTTACTGTTAATAAATTCACCAATGGGAATGATCTCCTTACATGCAGCATTCTGGGAAAAAGAGAGATAAAAAGGTAAGAAGAAATCTACACTGTTTGGGTGTTTTATTATTGGGTGAATCTCACTGAAACACATCCAGATCACATTTCACACCAAAATCAAACAGGGAAGAAAAAAGAAAAGAAAAAAAAGTACTTTGCATAAAATTATTTCTGATAAAGGTTCCGTTATTGTACCTGTGCTTTTGTATGAATGGAAGTGTTATTGAACATGGTACTCACATCGTACAGGTAGAACCAGTATCTACTGATGGAGTGCAGGACCCTCAGCAGCAGAATCACCTCCATTGAAGGGTCATCAAAAGTGATGCCCTCTGGAGGATCACTAATGAGGTATGACTCTAATAGGTTTGTCACACTGGGACACACACCCTCTGGAAACACACAAACACTGTAGTCTGAATAAAGATGAAGTTACTTATTAAACTCCTATACAGCTTTTGTAGGTTGTCAGTACACAAATGCACACAATATTTCCCTACCATGCCACAGTTCATCCTGTTTCTTGGCATTTCGAGGGGAGGTTTTAGTGGGAGCCGTCTGTGCACGACCCCTCTTCCCTCCAACAGCGTCTTTACAGCCCTCTTCATCCTCTCTGACTGGCTTATACCTGCATTACACAAACAAGCATATATTAACACATTATGAGTACAAAACAGGGCAAATAATAGGGTTGCAGACTTAAATCACATTCATGGAAAAGGCCCAACATTAGTGATTGTGTAGTTTCTGGCATGTAAGTTGTGTACCATATAGTGTGTGTTTTGGTCCAGATGCCAGCCCGCCCCAGAGGATTTGCTTCATCATCTGTGCTCTCTCGCTCCTCCTCGGCCTGTAAGCTGAACTGCCTGACGGCCTGATAAACAGTCATGTTGTACGGCAGCAGGTGCTCTCCTATATAGAACTGTAGTCTGTGACGTACACTCCCAGAATTCAAGAACTGGGCAGCCTTTGGGAAACGGTTAGAGACCACAGAATTAAAAAAAAAAAATAATTGCATACTAGACAAAATGTCATTTTGATGATAGTTACTAAGTAAACATCATCATGAGAACAATCATCCGTACCAAAGATTCATCAATCTCATCATCAGAACCATCATCATCACTGTCTTCATCCTCCTCCCTGATCCTTCCATACCCTGTGGAGACAGCAAAAGTCAACCATCTCATCTGAGAACTCAGAAACCAGAGAACATCATGTTCAGATTCTTGTGTGTATACCTCTAACCACAAGGTATCTCTCAATAGCCTGTACTAGGGCCAAGGGGTCAATTTTGACCGGCCCGCCCTTCCACTGCTTTACATTGGTGCAGTCTGGATGTCTCTGCAGCTGGCACTTCAGCTGATGTGTGTTAAAGAACTTGAGGGCTTGTGAACCCCTGCAAACAAAAGAATAACAATTAGCATGACATAAAAAGATTTTAAATCTCCAGTGAAAATCACTTTCTAAACAAGCTATTTTTTACACTAATGCCAATTTATTTGTAATAATCTCTTTTTGTTTGATTCCATTAAAAATAAAGCAAGATGATACTATCATTTTAAACTTTAAACTGCTTTAAAACTATTTTTACACCAAAAAGCCAGACTCATTCATTTGTTATACAATATTATCTTTTGGTTTGAATCAATAATAAAAAAGTAGAATAGGAAAACCAAAGATAAATAGATGTATTTACAACAAGAACATTAAAGAAGATATCACGGGGGAATTACCTGCTTCCGTTGCCGTTCCCACTGGGAAAATCATGCACTTTAACAGGAAACTGTTCCATCTGACTAAGGCAGTTGTTCATCTTGTGCACCAATGCCAGCAGTGGGCCATTCTCTGTTAGGTCCAAACGCCCCAGAGGTTCCTGCCCTGGTATCTGAATCACATATAACAAACAATGAGTCACACTGATCACACCAGTGACTACTACAAACTAATAGCCCAATTAAAGTGTCAAACACATTCAGGTGTCTTTGCAGCTGGCACTTCAGCTGATGTGTGTTAAAGAACTTGAGGGCTTGTGAACCCCTGCAAACAAAAGAATAACAATTAGCATGACATAAAAAGATTTGAAATCTCCAGTGAAAATCATTTTCTAAACAGCTATTTTTTACACTAATGCCAATTTATTTGTAATAATCTCTTTTTGTTTGAGTCCATTAAAAATAAAGCAAGATTATACTATCATTTTAAACTTTAAACTGCTTTAAAACTATTTTTACACCAAAAAGCCAGACTCATTCATTTGTTATACAATATTATCTTTTGGTTTGAATCAATAATAAAAAAGTAGAACAGGAAAGCCAAAGATAAATAGATGTATTTACAACAAGAACGTATCACGGGGGAATTACCTGCTTCCGTTGCCGTTCCCACTGGGAAAATCATGCACTTTAACAGGAAACTGTTCCATCTGACTAAGGCAGTTGTTCATCTTGTGCACCAATGCCAGCAGTGGGCCATTCTCTGTTAGGTCCAAACGCCCCAGAGGTTCCTGCCCTGGTATCTGAATCACATATAACAAACAATGAGTCACACTGATCACACCAGTGACTACTACAAACTAATAGCCCAATTAAAGTGTCAAACACATTCAGCGCTAAGGGAAAAAGTTTAACACCGTTACAAAACCTAGTGAGCTGCCTTGCTCTCTCTCCCTCTATATATATACAATTCATACGGGAATTAACAGTATATAAAAGGCATACAATATTTCTATACATTTCTGTGTCAGGGATGCTTTGGGGTAAGCTGTGCCAGTAGCTCAACTAATAGTAATTATTAATAGTATTTGGATGAAAAGTCAGAAAGAGAGAGTGTATGTGAAGGTGTATGTGTTTTTTCAAGTGTAAAAATCACAGAGGTTGACAGTGTGACTAACCGGGCAGCCGAAGAAAACATGCAGGAACCTCTTGATTCTCTCGTCTCTACTGATAGTGTCCCGTTCACTGTTTGATGTCAGATACAACAACAGCTGCTTCACAAGCCCACTGTGCTGGATCTCAAAGGAGGACACGTCTGATTCAGATACAATACTGCTTATCTCCTCTAGACACTCTACACCACTGTCCACCTGAAATGTGCATAAAACCAGTTTGAGAAAATTAATGCCTTCCACTGGATGACAAAAAAATAGTCAAATATGGTTTTCTCTCTAAACTGTACATATTAAAAGTGATAGACAGCATCATAAAGCGTTTCATAACATGCTAACGGTTTCAATGGTTAAAACATTTCACTAAGGCAGCATGACAGAATTAGCATAATAACTGCTTTATAATGGCTACAAATGCTAACTTTGTGTCCAGGGTTACCTGCAAGTTCAGCTGTTCTGTGGCAGTGCAGAGTCTTTGGAGGACGTTCAGTGCAGGGTTGCTTCCATCCACACTCTCAGAATTAAAGTAACGCTCCACAAATTTGCTGGCTTGCTCCTTTATCCAAGCCTTTATCTTATCCCTGAAATGTCACAGTGATAAAAAAAAAAAAAAACTATGGATATCAAAAGAAACACACACGCTGGTTTCCATGTTTTATGAGGACATTCCATAGGTGTAATGGTACTGTACAGACTTTATTTTCTATCCCCTTACTCTAACCATACCCCTCACATAAAACTTTCTACATTTTTTAAATATTCAAAAACCTTAATTCTGTATGATTTATAAGCTTGTGTCCTCACAGGGACCAAAAAAAAATGTCCCCACAAGGTCAAATTTACTGGTATTACTATCCTTGTGGGAACATTTGGTCCCTATAATGTAGGGAATACCGGGTATACACACACACACACACACACACACATATATATATTAATGTACATACACACACTATTGCTTAAAAGTTTGGGGTCATTAATTTACTTTTTTTTTTTTTTAAGAAATATCTACTTTTATTCAACAAGGACAAAACATTCATCACACACATATATATATTAATGTACATACACACACTATTGCTTAAAAGTTTGGGGTCATTAATTTACTTTTTTTTTTTTTAAGAAATATCTACTTTTATTCAACAAGGACAAAACATTCATAATGTTACAAAAGATTCCCATTTCAAATTGATAAAAAAACAAACAAAAAAATCCTGAAAAATATACATTACAGTTTCCACAAAAATATTAAGCAGCACAAAACAGTTTTCAACATTAATGAGAAACATACACATAGAAAAACATGTTGCTTTACCTGTTGTTTGAAACCGAGTCCTTGGGCGGCACTCGTGCCAGACCACTGACCCCTGCAGTGCGTGAGGGCTCTGAGTTGGCACTGTTTGTCTGAGTCCCCAGCTTACCCCAGGTCTTGGGATTTAAACTGGCTAGGAAAGAGGACTTGGGGGACTGTGTGGTTGTTGGACTCTTAGCTGTGGAGGAGATGCACAGAGTAAGGAGATATTATAATGACGAGGTGAGTAAATTCAAGTGTAACGAAGCATTCGCAATTCTTAAACAAAAGACGACACTAAAAAGCAGCTGAACTCAAAGGCACTGAAAACTGTCTGAATGTCTTTGGCATTAAAAAGAACATCAAGTGTCCAAATACTTTTGGCACCACTGTAATTCTCAACACGAGGAGTGCCGTGTACCCTGATTATCCACTTTGTCATCGTCTCTGGGTGGGGAGTACTTTGGACGCCTTGGTCCTCTTTTAGGAAGGCGCTTTCTTTTGAGAACATCACTCAACCTACTAGAGAACAGAGGGGTCGGTTTTTAAAATTTAAATGGCAAGACATTAGTTACCAAGCCTGCAAACTCTCGATCAGTAACAGTGCGTGTGAGAGTGGCTCTATACCCCTGTGGACTGAGGTCCAGTGAGTCATCCATGCTGTGCTGGAAACTGGGCGAGCCTAAGTCGGGTGTGACATTAGAGGCAGCTGTAGTGGTTGCCGTGGTGATGGTGGTGGTGCAAAGACTAGCTGTGCCGCTGGTGCACGCTTTCGGAGGACTGATGAGGAACACCTCAGATTCAGATAGATTCTTTACCTGGTGCATTACACCTGAACAGAACAAGAGCAGTGTTGGGTGTAATGCATTAATGTAATCAAATATTTTTTTGCAGGTGAATCCTGCCACAGCTAGTCATTTGATTAGGTTTGGTGTGAAGCTTATATAAAAACCAGATCCAGTACCTTCCCGCCTGAAATAAACACTGAAAACATCTGGAAGCTTCTGCATGAGGATCTCAGCCATCTGCAGAGAGCCGACTACAATCTTCAGGTCCTGACTGGACAGCATGGAAGCTATGTGGCTACAGACAAAATTCAAACATTTGCACATATTAGCTCAGAATTAGTCAACCTTGAAACCAAACAAGCATTCTTACAAGCTTTACATAAGCCACGTACCTTCATTTAAATGAACGAATGAAATTAACATCTTTATCCTTTGAAATATTTACACATTTTTATAAAGTAAACATAAGTTTTGTCCAGCCGTTCACACAGAGCTCTGCATTTATTGACTGACCTAGACACAGCATGGTTGCGCAGTACGTCTTTAAGCAGCTCTGCATCTGCGAAGTAGATGATCCGGAGGATGGCTCTAAGGCACTTGTGTCTGACGGCAGGCCCGGCTGAGGAGCTGTACACCTCATACAGAACCCCAAACAGAGTCTTTATGAAGCACTTGGCCAGCTCAGGGTCCTCTTTCATCAGCTGAGCTCGTGCGTCCTCTCGCCGCACCTCCAAGTGCCCTCCTGGGAAGGCAGACAGAGTTTTACTCCATTTATTGTTTTATAACACTTTATTCTCGCAAAATATACTGTAGAATTTGGTAATGTACCACATTTATAGAAGCAAAATTAGATTCCCTGTTCATTGATTTCATTGTGTTTGTTTCCCACTGGTCATAATTATTTGACAGTAGAGGCTGTCCAATACATCATAGCTGCCGATTAAATGGTGCAGATGGGTGCTTTGAGGATCTAGTCAGAATTATTTGACAGCAGAGGTCAACTGCTTTTACTAGATTAATTTCACCGATAGTTGCTTTGTGGAACTATCGGCTATTTGCAAAAAAACTATTCAGAATTGAGGGTGATCCAATTTGATATAACAAACATGCGCTCCAAAGAAGACACGCTGTGAAGTAGATCTTGTTCATCAAACTTTAATAATGTTTATATCAACCAATAACGTGGCAAATGTTAATAGCTTATCTGCTTTTGATCATTCAATCTCTTATTTCAAAAGACAATTTCTTGTCTTTCGGAATTTCTTGTACATTATATATTTCATATTAAATAAAAATAAAGCATCAGCGTCAAAAGTGCCAAATCTATAAACTTTCTATAATCAATTACAGCCTATAAACCATTTAAAAAAAAAGGGATGAGTCAAAATTAAAAATTATTATATTCATATTCATTTAAAATATACAGTTAACAACACTGTGTAGATTTTCACAACCAAAAATAGCAGATGGTTGAATAAAAATTTAATTTAATTTGCTGCTTGTTTTCTTATATATATATATATATTTAAAAAAACCTAACACTAGCTTTCTAATCTTTTTGTATTATATCTGTTTTCTTTTCATTTATTATACAATTAACAAAAGCAAAAAAGACCTCTAACACTAGCTTGCTCTATTCTTTTTCTATTCTATCCGTTTTCTTTTTATTTATTATATTATTAAAAAAAGACCTTGCTACGTGTACAGCATTAAGCTAACTGAGACTTGTTATAGCACTTACATATCATTGCTCTTTTGTTGATTTTTATTGCTTCCATTGTCCTCATTTGTAAGTCGCTTTGGATAAAAGCATCTGCTAAATGACTAAATGTAAATGCTTAATACCCCTGTATACAAAGCATTACTAGAAGGGAAGCCAATCATTTGCATGTATGATATAAACACCAGAAGGTAAACACTGCCATAATTCATCAAAAGCAGACCATAAGTGATCGTTTGGCATAAATGTGCAGTGTTTATTGACTGCAAACTGCTCTGAAAACTGCAAGCCTGTAGAACGCACAAGAGCATAGCATTTTTGACTTTTTATGGCCTTCAATTAGATAAAAAAAAAAAAAACTTAGGACTTTAAGGATCCTACAACTACTTTCTGGCATTATTATTTGGTGGATCATTTGAATAAGTTTTTTCTCCCTGAATAATAAGGCAGTTCTTGGACAGAATAAACCACAACCAGATGAATTCCAGTTGAATTTCTTGATGCAGGGAAAGTACTCACCAGGGCAGGTACGACGCTCTTGACGGGGAATCCTCCCAGTGTCTCCTCATTACCCATCACTAGCAGCTGGCACATCTCTATAGCAGCCTGGAGCTGCTGGGATTCGTCTCCTGTAGCCTGAAGCCCCTGCAGCAGCTGCTGTGCCTTTGAGCCTGCAAGTGCAGAGAGAGACAGAAGACAGACATGTTGAGCAGAAGAAATACTCAATCATTCCACAGAAATGACACAAACATAAGTCAATGTCACTCACTAGCTCCACTCCCGATGGTCCTATGAAACAGCTGAGACATACGGGGTCCAAATGGGCCAAACAGGTGAGGAGGAAGACCCCTGGCCTCCAGTAGAGCTGAAGAGAGAGAGAAAAAAAATGAAATGTAAAACCTTACACACAACTAGATGTTTCGGTTTCATTACACTTTGATGTCAATAAATTTTTTTTTAAAAAGATTAGAAAGTAGAAAAATTGTGTATTGTGACAATAATTCAGTGAAAAACGTACATGTTACAGCACACACTACCAGTATTTTATGAAGAAAAAATTTGAAAAAAATAATTTGTTTTAAATACTCCAATCACAGTCAATAATGTTGAGAATTGACCCATTTGAGCTGCTAGTGGCACCCAAACATCCTACACAAGATTTTTTTTTTATAAACTTAAGTGATTAAAGATATTAAATTACTTACGGCTGCCCAGAATAACAATATCTCTGAAGATACAATTACAGTGGGTACGGAAAGTATTCAGACCCCCTTAAATTTTTCACTCTTTGTTATATTGCAGCCATTTGCTAAAATCATTTAAGTTA